CTAGCATGCGTGTGTGTGTGTACTCACCTAGTTGTACTCACCTAGTTGTGTTTGCGGGGGTTGAGCTCTGGCTCTTTGGTCCCGCCTCTCAACCGTCAATCTACAGGTGTACAGATTCCTGAGCCTATTGGGCTCTATCATATCTACACTTGAAACTGTGTATGGAGTCAGCCTCCATCACATCACTTCCTAATGCATTCCATTTGTCAACCACTCTGACACTAAAAAAGTTCTTTCTAATATCTCTGTGGCTCATTTGGGCACTCAGTTTCCACCTGTGTCCCCTTGTGCGTGTTCCCCTTGTGTTAAATAGACTGTCTTTATCTACCCTATCAATTCCCTTCAGAATCTTGAATGTGGTGATCATGTCCCCCCTAACTCTTCTGTCTTCCAGCGAAGTGAGGTTTAATTCCCGTAGTCTCTCCTCGTAGCTCATACCTCTCAGCTCAGGTACTAGTCTGGTGGCAAACCTTTGAACCTTTTCCAGTTTAGTCTTATCCTTGACTAGATATGGACTCCATGCTGGGGCTGCATACTCCAGGATTGGCCTGACATATGTGGTATGTCCAAGTATGTGTGTGTGTCCAAGCGTGCGTGTGTGTGTGTGTGTGTCCAAGCGTGCGTGTGTGTGTGTGTGTCCAAGCGTGCGTGTGTGTATATACACTCCTCAAGAGACTCACCGCAGTATGGAAGAGACAGTGGGTGGGCGCCTCGTCCTCCCCATTAGGACACTGGGACACCCCGTCACACAGATCGACGTCCTCCACACAGGTCCACCTGCCGTCCTGGCTAGGGGACGGACAGAACATCCGCTCTCCGCCGTCCGGGGCTGGTGGACACTCTGAGGACACCAACACCAGGTCACGTTAGGACACGTTTCTACATTTGTGGGGCAACAAACAGGTTTAATGAATAACAAGACATGAATTGCTCGCTGAATAGTTCAAGTTCGTTTATCGAGACAATAAATTACATTTCAAAGGGATAGAGTAGCTATTTCTGCCCCCCCCCCCCTCTCGCTGGATAGATACAGGCGTAATTAAGGAATTTACAGGTGAATAAGTTTTGGTTAAAAAATAAATAGAATATAGCCGCGCCAATAGACCTACAGAATCGTCTATTCTAATGCTACATTTAGTCTATCCGTTCTTGCCCGACGAGATAGACACCTATAAACGGTCCCTTTATAACTTATTTCCCATGTTTTTAATGCATAAACAGGTATAATAATTGTTTGGTACTTTGCAAGTCTATCCTAGCCTCTTGACCTTAAATTTCCATGTAGAACACCCTTGAAAAAAATGGACTTGGCGACATTTTGAGTCCCTCCGGGACCCTTATTAACTCGTAACGCACTTGTGTCGGGTTATTCATTAGAAAAATATATGGTACTTAAATAATGTCCACTCTACTCCGTCTGGGTTTAAGATAGCCGAGACAGGGGGAAAAATCATTGTGAATAATCACCATTACTCACCCCACACTCACTCATTCACAAGGTAACTGACTCATACACTCACGCTTGCATTCACCCATTCACTCCCCCCTCCCCCTCCCCCCCCCCCCATACCTCCACCCTCACCTTAATGTATCGCTCTCTACTGAATGTTACACGGAGGATGTCAAGCGTGGCGGAGGAGATGAGGGAGAGGACAGATGAGGGAGAGGACAGATGAGGGAGAGAGCAGATGAGGGAGAGGGCAGATGAGGGAGAGGACAGATGAGGGAGAGGAGAGATGAGGGAGAGGACAGATGAGGGAGAGGAGAGATGAGGGAGAGGGCAGATGAGGGAGAGGACAGATGAGGGAGAGGACAGATGAGGGAGAGAGCAGATGAAGGAGAGGGCAGATGAGGGAGAGGACAGATGAGGGAGAGGACAGATGAGGGAGAGGACAGATGAGGGAGAGGACAGATGAGGGAGAGGACAGATGAGGGAGAGGACAGATGAGGGAGAGGACAGATGAGGGAGAGGGCAGATGAGGGAGAGGACAGATGAGGGAGAGGACAGATGAGGGAGAGGGCAGATGAGGGAGAGGGCAGATGAGGGAGAGGGCAGATTGTACACTGCTAGAAGTGTACAGATTGTACACTCCCTTAAATTCAGCTGTGTCTACCCCCTCCCCCACCCCCCACCCTCCAGGCTCTAAGTTGCTCCACAAGAGGAGACAGCTGTGTCTACCCCCCCCCACCCCCCACCCTCCAGGCTCTAAGTTGCTCCACAAGAGGAGACAGCTGTGTCTACCCCCCCCCCCCCCCCCCACCCTCCAGTCTCTAAGTTGCTCCACAAGAGGAGACAGCTGTGTCTACCCCCCCACCCCCCCACACCCCCCACCCTCCAGGCTCTAAGTTGCTCCACAAGAGGAGACAGCTGTGTCTACCCCCCCCCCACCCCCCACCCTCCAGGCTCTAAGTTGCTCCACAAGAGGAGACAGCTGTGTCTACCCCCCCACCCCCCACACCCCCACCCTCCAGGCTCTAAGTTGCTCCACAAGAGGAGACAGCTGTGTCTACCCCCCCCCCACCCCCCACCCTCCAGGCTCTAAGTTGCTCCACAAGAGGAGACAGCTGTGTCTACCCCCCACCCCCCCACACCCCCCACCCTCCAGGCTCTAAGTTGCTCCACAAGAGGAGACAGCTGTGTCTACCCCCCCCCCCACCCCCCACCCTCCAGGCTCTAAGTTGCTCCACAAGAGGAGACAGCTGTGTCTACCCCCCCACCCCCCCACACCCCCCACCCTCCAGGCTCTAAGTTGCTCCACAAGAGGAGACAATAAGAGAGGCGCCACAATATCTGGTGAAATAATGTTTTATTATTATTATTTTCTGCCACAGACGTGGCCACGTCCTACACATTCACGGAAACCACCAAGGACACAAGCCCTGATACAACAACAACAACAACAACGACAACAACAACAACGACAACAACAACGACAACAACAACAACAACGACAACAACAACAACAACAACAACAACAACAACAACAACAACAACGACAACAACAACAACAACAACAACAACGACAACAACGACAACAACAACAGTAGACACTAAAGCAACTAACATGTTCACTAAGACATTATTCCCTAGTGACTCTCAGGCAGCAAGACGAGCCGGAGACAAGATAAGAAGCGACAATTCTTAACCAGAAAACAAGACTTTTTTTTTTAAGAGATCAATATTGAGGAGAGAAAAAAAACAGCTGTGTAGCTTATATAAAAGCTACAGTTTATTTTAGCTTTTATGTAAGCCATTTAAAAGTCAAGGATGAGCCGAAAAGACCCCCATGGATTGAGAAAGAAGCTATTTGTAACTGCGAGCGTCAGTCATAAACAAACTGACTAAGGAAATAATGAATCTAATAAAGGAGAGATGAGACCTGGAGACTAAAGCTGATAGAAGCAGCGGAAAGGAAGTACACAACGTGTCAAGAGGAGGAAAGATTGACCCTCTGGGATGGGACGGGGGGAAGGAATGGTACCCAATCACTTGCGGACGGTCGGGGATTGAACGCCGACCTGTATGAAGCGAGGCTGTCGCTCTACCGTCCAGCCCAAGTGGTTGGACTATTAGTATGTGAGCATCTTGTGGTGATCAAGACTGCGGCAAGAGAAAGCTGGTGAAAGACCAACATTCTGTATTGTAAAGTGCCTGAAAGTTAGAGAATTCCTAGAAAGAATGCAAAAGGTAATATAGATGAAATATTGAGGAGAAAACGCTAAACCGGAACGATTATATAGCACGTGGAAGGGATATAAGGACAGGGATAGAAGCTGGAATAGGCGGGACTGAGTGAAAAAACGATGCCCTTACCACCTGCACCATCGGGAATCAAACGCAGACCTGCAACAAGCGAGTCTATCGCTCTACCGACCAGTCCAAGTAGGTGCACCAGTTGGGACATAGAACTCGCAGGAAATACAGCACAAAACATACTAGAATATATACAGAACAAATCAAAGAAACTGAAGAAAGAGTCATAACGCCACTGAGAGATAGAGGAATCGACATTACCATCTTGCCAGGGTTCGACTGGCAGTAAATAGAAGCACAAATTTGAATCACGAGGCATATGGAGAAAGAAAGTCTCACTTTCAGCAACTCTCACTTTCAACACAGCAAAAGAGAAAGTCACAAGATGTATAAAAGGGCGAGGAACGAATCAATAAAGATTACATCAAGAATACATCAAGAATACATAGAGAGCAGTGGAGAAACAGTTTGAAACTAAAGTAAGATCCCGAGGCAAGAAAGAGCCTCAAAAGAAAGACTGAGGGAACTGAACTTCACCACGCTGAAGGCTATGAAGAACAGAGGGGACATGATAACGACATACTAACTTCTAAGAGTAATCGAACAAGCAGAAATAATGTTCAACATGAGGAACAGCTGGGAACTAGAGAGAACAAACCACTCACAACGGTGACAGAAAGAACTCCGTCAGTGAAAGAATCCTAAATAAATGGAAACAAACAGATGAAGAACTTATGGAATCGAATTCAATACACAACATTAAATGTAAATCATAAAAAAAACACGAGAGAATGAGTCATTGCATTAAACTACTAGAGGATGGGAAGGCGGGGCCCAGGAGGTGAGGCTAGAGCCTGTAAACACACACATCCAGGTGACAACACACACACACACACACACACACACACACACACACACACACACACACACACACACACACACACACACACACACACACACACACACACACGGTTGAGAGACGGACGACAGACGGTTGAGAGGCGGGACCAAAGAGCCACAGCTCAACCCCCGCAAGCACAATTAGGTGAGTATACACACACACACACCCACCCACCCACACACATACACACACACACGCACACACACACACACACACACACACACACACACACACACACACACACACACACACACACCCACCCACCCACCCACCCACCCACCCACCCCGCCCCCACACTAACAAGACCTGGGGACACTCAGGTGGTGACAGCCGGCCCACTGCTTGTCAACACTTCCTCCACCACCAACACACATTTTAACCCTTACGTTTATGCCTCGTGTCTCCCCCCCCCCCACCCACCCCCTCACTCCTCCCAATCACTCCTAAAACCTCCATTTAAGGGTTTTCCGGTAAATTAGACATTGTCGTCTGGGTGCTCAGGTGCTCGGGGGGTGTAGAATGAGAGGGGCCATCTTAGGGAACGGGGCGACAGGGGCTAGACACAACAGGGCTCTACTAACACCAATCGTTCCCTTGTTTGACATATTTTTGGAACATCACAGTTTCGTGTTGAGAGTGAGGGGGGGGCGGTGGCGCGGGGGTTGAAGGGGATGGTGGGGATTTAGGGGGGAGGGTGTAGGGGGCGGGGATTTAAGGGGGGGTGGGTGGGAATTGAGGATTTACGTGGGTGGGGGTAGGTGAGGTGCTCTCGTAGACTAAGAGATTTGACTATGGTCCTGAGTTTACATAAAAGGGCAGATTTACAGTAATTACCTAAGTGTATAAGCTCGTGGTGTCCCGTCTTCTCGGCGAAGAAACAGTGAGATTTTCGCAATGCATTCCGGAAGATCACACCTAACGACAACACAGTAACCCCCCCCCACCCCACCCCACCCCCACCCCCCTTCTCCTTCCGCCACACTACAAAGGTTAGTTAAAAGTGGGAATTGTAACTACATAATGGTCGTAATTCATTAGGTGGTCTTTATCCCTTTCTCATATCTAAACAAATGTAGAGGACTTGAGGCATGCATACAAAATACAGTCTCCTGAAAATAATTTAGGACTTAGAAGTAAACTGTGTACACATACACTGAGAGGCGGGGTATACACAGGTATACCCCGCCACAGGTATACCACCTGTGGCGGGGTATATACCACAGGTATATACCCCGCCACAGGTATATACTACAGGTATATACCTGTGTATATACCACAGGTATATACCACGGGTATACCTCTAAAGAGGTATACCTCTTCCTAACTCTCATTATCTTCTCAATTAATAATAATTAATATACTTTCCCAAATGGATTTTTAATTAGAGTTATGTCATGGCATTTGCGGCGTCGGCGGGTAGATAATTCCTTGGGTTTAATAATAATTGTGTCAGGGGACAGGTAGCCAGTGTATATTTACATGTTAAATAGTCGAACTACTGCCTGACGAACCAAAGTGCAACCCCACAACAAGCTGACTACCTCCTGTGTTCACTGCTAGGTGAACAGGCGCATTAGGTGATAGTAAATGCGCCCAACCATTTATGTCCCGCCCGGGATTCGAACCCGGAATTCCCAATATAGTATTACCGTATAACTTCAAATGTTTTATAGTAAACAAGAGGTTTCATCTTTGTCAATCATCAGCTAACACGAAGCCTTCAAAATTATCTTTCCCTGATCTGACTCAGAATCTTGTAGGCAATCTACAGGCCTCTCCACACCCTGTATACAACCTAGGGACTCCCCTGCACACATCCTAGGGGCATATTTACAACCTAGGGACTCTCCAACACCCCTGCACACATCCTAGGGGCATGTTTACAACCTAGGGACTCCCCTACACCCCTGCACACATCCTAGGGGCATATTTACAACCTAGGGACTCCCCTACACCTCTGCACACATCCTAGGGGCATATTTACAACCTAGGGACTCCCTTACACCCCTGCACCCATCCTAGGGGCATATTTACAACCTAGGGACTCCCCTACACCTCTGCACACATCCTAGGGGCATATTTACAACCTAGGGACTCCCTTACACCCCTGCACACATCCTAGGGGCATATTTACAACCTAGGGACTCCCTTACACCCCTGCACCCATCCTAGGGGCATATTTACAACCTAGGGACTCCCTTACACCCCTGCACCCATCTTAGGGGCATATTTACAACCTAGAGACTGACTGGCCTCCTGCAGGAAGTTAGGGGGGGGGGGGGGGTTGGCGCGCGGGCGAGAATGGCTGTAGCAGTAATCGTGGTGATGCTGAAGAGAGTGTTTGGTCTCACGGGCTGTTGGTTGTGGAGGGAGGCATTGGGGACCTGTTGAGGCAGCACGGGGGGCCGCTTGCTACTGATGGCATACTTCTTATTTACCTCGGTGAGGGGGCGGCGAGGGGGATTTTGCCCCCCCCCCCCCTTCAGATTTCTCTTAGCACTTTCTCCCTGGAAATCTCTCGGTAGCCTGTCACGTCTATACCCTTCCCCTAGTATCTTTTAGTACCTTGGTATAGCAAGGATCGTTGATACTATATATATAATATATATGGCGTGTATATATATATATATATATATATATATATATATATATATATATATATATATATATATATATATATATATATATATATACATATATATATACAATTGTAGATTTAAATACCGTAATTGATAAAGTTATTGATATCGAGATTGGTGAACGGTTTGCGGGTTTAAGAGCGAAGGGTTGACACAGTTCAACCTTCAAGAGAAGTCGAGTCTACCAGTTCTGGCAGTTAGTCAACCAACAAGCAGTCTCCGTGGTGTAGTGGTAAGACACTCGCCTGGCGTTCCGCGAGCGCTTTGTCATGGGTTCGTATCCTGGCCGGGAGGATTTACTGGGCGCAATTCCTTAACTGTAGCTTCTGTTTAACGCAACAGTAAAATGTGAACTTGGTTGTAACAAGGATTCTTCGCGGCAGGGGATCGTATTCCAGGGACCTGCCCGACGGAGCCGGTCGGCCGAGCGGACAGCACGCGGGACTTGTGATCCTGTGGTCCTGGGTTCGATCCCAGGCGCCGGCGAGAAACATTGGGCAGAGTTTCTTTCACCCTATGCCCCTGTTACCTAGCAGTAAATAGGTACCTGGGTGTTAGTCAGCTGTCACGGGCTGCTTCCTGGGGGTGGAGGCCTGGTCGAAGACCGGGCCGCGGGGACACTAAAGCCCCGAAATCATCTCAAGATAATCTCAAGAAGACACGCTACGCGTACTAGTGGCTCTACAACAATGTAACAACTCTTGTATATATCTCTCAAATATCTCAAACAAAGCATAAAGTCGACCTTTTCTACGGTCCATTTGCACGTGGGCGCTTCGTGTTAGGTTAGGCTGGCTTATGTTTGGCAAGGTTGTGTTGGGTTATGGCAAGTTGGGTTGTGTTGGGTTATGGCAAGTTGGGTTGTGTTGGGTTATGGCAAGTTGGGTTGTGTTTAGTTTGGGTTATGGGAAGTTGGGTTGTGTTTAGTTTGGGTTATGGCAAGTTGGGTTGTGTTTAGTTTGGGTTATGGCAAGTTGGGTTGTGTTTAGTTTGGGTTATGGCAAGTTGGGATGTGTTTAGTTTGGGTTATGGGAAGTTGGGTTGTGTTTAGTTTGGGTTATGGGAAGTTGGGATGTGTTTAGTTTGGGTTATGGGAAGTTGGGATGTGTTTAGTTTGGGTTATGGGAAGTTGGGTTGCGTTTAGTTTGGGTTAGGTTAGGTTGGGACGAGTTGAGTTACATTTGATTGGATCAGATTGTGCTGGGTTAGGATATCTTGTTGGGTTACATCAGGTTAGGATGAGTTAATAGGTTTTAACACAGCCAAAATCCGTTGACAACCCGTTGTAATTTACAACAGAGCAGCGTGTCCTCACGAGAGGTCCCAACGTCATCAAATTGACGTACTAAATTGCCTGAACCTAACCTAGCCGAAAATTAACGAATATAAACCGAGACACCACGACAATTCTACGAGCAGCTATGAATTGTTTTAAGTAAATCACTTTTTTTTTGGTCTAAAGGGATTTATACCAAGACGGGCTGAACAGAGTAACCTGTCATATCGAATACTACAACATAATTTCATATTGAAATCCCCAAAACGGACAAAATAAATCTGTAAAATATGTAAAAATAAATCTATTCTGTAAATCGCAACTCACAAACAACCCCGTTTTCTATGGATTCATCGCTTGGGTTAAATACGGACAATTTAGCACACTATTTTTAAGACGTTGTGAGAGGCTGAACAGAGAGAGAGAGAGAGAGAGAGAGAGAGAGAGAGAGAGAGAGAGAGAGAGAGAGAGAGAGAGAGAGAGAGAGAGAACATTTCCTATCAAAGTTATTTATTAACACGAGCAATTAACCAATTAATGAACTTCAGGGACACAAGCGCAGGATGGCGCCTAATACTCCCATCTCTGGAAAGCTTTGATATTCAATAAACAAATAATATTAAAAAACCTACTATTCAAAATATATATTCTATAATCGCCCTGAGAGAGAGATTAGATACCAAGAGTTCAAATATAGGTGAAGTGTAAGAGATTGGCTGCGTGATTGAGTATTTAGAGGCAGACTTAACATGGTATGCATGGTACTGAGTTTGACAGGAGTGTGTTTGACAGGAGTGGGTTTGACAGGAGTGAGTTTGACAGGAGTGGGTTTGACAGGAGTGAGTTTGACAGGAGTGGGTTTGACAGGAGTGGGTTTGATAGGAGTGTGTTTGACAGGAGTGTGTTTGACAGGAGTGAGTTTGACAGGAGTGAGTGTGACAGTGTAAACAAGGGAGTGTTTAAGGGAGTGTTTAAGGGGGTGTTTAAGAAAGTGTTTAAGGGGGTGTTTAAGGGAATGTTTAAGGGGGGTGTTTAAGAAGATGTTTACGGGAGTGTTTAAGGGAGTGGAGTGTTAAGGGGGTGTTTAAGGGGGTGTTTAAGGGAGTATTTAAGGGAGTGTTTAAGGGAGTGTTTAAGGGGGTGTTTAAGGGAGTGTTTAAGGGAGTGTTTAAGGGGGTGTTTAAGGGAGTGTTTAAGGGAGTGTTTAAAGGAGTGTTTAAGTGAGTGGTAGCATGACTGGTTGTAACAGAATAGTGAGTGGTAGCATGACTGGCTGTGACAGTGCAGTGAGTGGTAGCATGACTGGTTGTAACAGAGCAGTGAGTGGTAGCATGACTGGTTGTAACAGAACAGTGAGTGGTAGCATGACTTGTTGTGACAGAGCAGTGAGTGGTAGCATGACTGGTTGTAACACAGTAGTGAGTGGTAGCATGACTGGTTGTAACACAGCAGTGAGTGGTAGCATGACTGGTTGTAACACAGCAGTGAGTGGTAGCATGACTGGTTGTAACACAGCAGTGAGTGGTAGCATGACTGGTTGTAACAGAGCAGTGAGTGGTAGCATGACTGGTTGTAACAGAATAGTGAGTGGTAGCATGACTGGCTGTGACAGTGCAGTGAGTGGTAGCATGACTGGTTGTAACAGAGCAGTGAGTGGTAGCATGAGTGGTTGTAACAGAACAGTGAGTGGTAGCATGAGTGGTTGTAACAGAACAGTGAGTGGTAGCATGACTGGTTGTAACAGAGCAGTGAGTGGTAGCATGACTGGTTGTAACAGAGCAGTGAGTGGTAGCATGACTGGTTGTAACAGAACAGTGAGTGGTAGCATGACTGGTTGTAACAGAGCAGTGAGTGGTAGCATGACTGGTTGTAACAGAGCAGTGAGTGGTAGCATGACTGGTTGTAACAGAACAGTGAGTGGTAGCATGACTGGTTGTAACAGAGCAGTGAGTGGTAGCATGACTGGTTGTAACAGAACAGTGAGTGGTAGCATGACTGGTTGTAACAGAACAGTGAGTGGTAGCATGACTGGAACACATAAAAACAGTTTCAATTTGAAAAACATAAACACAAAATTAAACAGGAGTTAAAGTTTATCTAGACATAAACATATTCTGTCTGGTGTGATACAGCGAGCCTACTGTAGAGCCTCTGTAGTCTCCAAGAACAGTGAGAGTGTACCAGTGTCGCAGCCCAACACAGTGTAGTGTAGAGGAGGACTAGTGAGACACATGGCAGGCGAAAGACAACAAAAGAGGCGAGACTCACCGCCGGCCCGCAGGTAATAGAGGTAGTGATGAGACTCGTATTGCGTGGAGTCGTGCGTCTGGACCGTCTTGTGCTTGTGGCCGTAGCCTCGGTGGGACCGTCGCTGCCTCTCCACCTGCTGCTGCTGCTGCTGCTGCTGCCCGTCCTCATCCTCCTGCTGCTGCTGCGCCTCCTGCTGCTGCTCCATCCCCGCCAGGTAGGCCGACACTTCCCTTAAGGCGTCTAGGATATCGTCCGATTCCTCGCGGGCAGTGTCTGTCGTGTCTGCCTGGCTGGAGCGGCGCTGGCTGGGCCCAGACTTCTTTCTGCGGTGTCTGGAGGAGATCCTGGGCCTCCACGGGAGGTCGCGGGGAGGTGTGGAGGTCTCCTGGGTGGTGGAGAGGATAGTGTGGAGCCTCTGGAGGTACTGGCGACTGCTGGTGAGGAAGAGGGAGGTGGATGGCGCCAAGCGCGGCGCCACCGCCGGGGTGCCGGGCGGTGTTCCCGCCATTAGAGTCTGTAGCTCGACGTCGTTTAGGTCGAGGAGCGCGCGAAGAGCGTGTCGCACGCGGCTAGTGTCGTAAGTGTCGTCGAGATTGGCAGCGGCTACCGCATGGCGCGGCAGGTGGAGGGTGCGGCGACCCGTGTCTGCGGCCACGGGCGGCACGTGTCGAGATGCGGCGGGTGCGATCACTGCCAGGAGCAGCAGTAGCGGCACCACCAGCGGCACTGGAGGCATCACACTACACTCTGAGAGAGCACCAGGTGGCCGGAGACCAGCGGCTGCTCGCCACTATGCGCTACACAACTATCACAACAAGTGGTGGCGAGTGAGGGAGAGAGAGCGTGGTGGTGGCGAGTGAGGGAGAGTGGCGGACTGACTGCTGGAGAAGGCTCATACCCGCGCCTCTTATACGTCTCCCGCCTCCCACTCTTACGCCACGCCGCCCTCCTCATGCACCTCCATGTGCCTGCCCCTCACCCCTCACACGCCACTCACGACCCTCACACGCCACACCCACCCCTCACACGCCACTCACGACCCTCACACGCCACACCCACCCCTCACACGCCATCCTCGACCCTCACACGCCACAGCCACCCCTCACACGCCATCCTCGACCCTCACACGCCACACCCACCCCTCACACGCCATCCTCGACCCTCACACGCCACACCCACCCCTCACACGCCACTCACGACCCTCACACGCCACACCCACCCCTCACAGCCAACCCTCACACGCCATCCTCGACCCTCACACGCCACAGCCAACCCTCACACGCCACACCTGTCACCTCACACTCCAAGACAACGCCGACCACCCCAGCAGGTGTATATATATATATTCCGGCGCTGGGATTACCACAGGGGATCGAACCTGTGCTCGCTCCAGTACATTGCAACCCCCAGGAAGAGGGTAAAGGTAGTCGAGACGTGCTATCTCGCCCCCACCATATACCGTCTAGACTGTCCTTGAGACGGAGCCGAGGCCAGACACGGGTTCAGACACGTGGCTCCAGTCACTAGTCACCCGGATTGACCAGAAAACAGTTTGTAACTGTGACATCTGATAGGAGTAACAGGGTCCAGTCAAACGTGGACCCATGCCTCGCAGGTGGCATGAGAGGCATCGCGGAACATGCCCACGTGCCCGGGCATGTCGGGGAGAATAGTGACATGGTCTGAAAGGTGGCGTCCGGTGGGGGCATGGGGCATGGGGCATGGGGGGCGGGTACTGGTTTGCCACAGCTGACGCAATACTTGCCTGGGTGAAGTACTCCGCCTCATGCCCCCCCCCCCCCCGTGAGGACGTGCACCGGTGAGGACGTGCACCGGTGAGGACGTGCCCCCCGGTGAGGACGTGCACCGGTGAGGACGTGCCCCCGGTGAGGACGTGCACCGGTGAGGACGTGCACCGGTGAGGACGTGCCCCCGGTAAGGACGTGCCCCCGGTGAGGACGTGCCCCCGGTGAGGACGTGCCCCCCGGTGAGGACGTGCCCCCGGTGAGGACGTGCCCCCGGTGAGGACGTGCACCGGTGAGGACGTGCACCGGTGAAGACGTGCACCGGTGAGGACGTGCCCCCGGTGAGGACGTGCACCAGTGAGGACGTGCCCCCGGTGAGGACGTGCCCCCGGTGAGGACGTGCACCGGTGAGGACGTGCACCAGTGAGGACGTGCCCCCGGTGAGGACGTACACCGGTGAGGACGTGACCGTGAGGACGTGCCACCGGTGAGGACGTGCCACCGGTGAGGACGTGCCCCGGTGAGGACGTGCACCGGTGAGGGTGAGGACGTGCACCGGTGAGGACGTGCACCGGTGAGGACGTGCACCAGTGAGGACGTGCCACCGGTGAGGACGTGCACCGGTGAGGACGTGCACCAGTGAAGACGGTGAGGACGTGCCCCCGGTGAGGACGTGCCCCCGGTGAGGACGTGCCCCCCGGTGAGGACGTGCACCGGTGAGGACGTGCACCGGTGAGGACGTGCACCGGTGAGGACCTGCCCCGGTAAGGACGTGCACCGGTGAGGACGTGCCCCGGTGAGGACGTGCCCCGGTGAGGACGTGCACCGGTGAGGACGTGCACCGGTGAGGACGTGCACCGGTGAGGACGTGCACCGGTGCACCGGTGAGGAGGACGTGCACCGGTGAGGACGTGCACCGGTGAGGACGTGCCACCGGTGAGGACGTGACCGGTGAGGACGTGCGGTGAGGACCACCGGTGAGGACGTGCACCGGTGAGGACCCCGGTGAGGACGTGCCCCCGGTGAGGACGTGCACCGGTGAGGACGTGCACCGGTGAGGACGTGCACCGGTGAGGACGTGCCCCGGTGAGGACGTGCACCGGTGAGGACGTGCACCGGGGAGGACGTGCCACCGGTGAGGACGTGCCACCGGTGAGGACGTGCCACCGGTGAGGACGTGCACCGGTGAGGACGTGCACCGGTGAGAACGTGCCCCGGTGAGGACGTGCACCGGTGAGGACGTGCACCGGTGAGTGACGTGCACCGGTGAGGACGTGCACCGGTGAGGACGTGCCACCGGTGAGGACGTGCCACCGGTGAGGACGTGCCACCGGTGAGGACGTGCCACCGGTGAGGACGTGCCACCGGTGAAGACGTGCCACCGGTGAGGACGTGCCACCGGTGAGGACGTGCCACCGGTGAGGACGTGCACCGGTGAGGACGTGCCACCGCTGAGGACGTGCACCCGGTGAAGACGTGCTTCTTCCTCATCACCACCTAAGTACACGACCCAAGGTGTTTAATGAAAGTATTATAGTAGCACACGCTGTAATAAATTTCCCTCTGTCATTCCATATCTGTCATTCCATATCTGTCATTCCATATCTGTCATTCCATATCTGTCATTCCATATCTGTCATTCCATATCTGTCATTCCATATCTGTCATTCCATATCTGTCATTCCATATCTGTCATTCCATATCTGTCATTCCATATCTGTCATTCCATATCTGTCATTCCATATCTGTCATTCCATATCTGTCATTCCATATCTGTCATTCCATATCTGTCATTCCATATCTGTCATTCCATATCTGTCATTCCATATCTGTCATTCCATATCTGTCATTCCATATCTGTCATTCCATACCTGTCATTCCATACCTGTCATTCCATATCTGTCATTCCATATCTGTCATTCCATATCTGTCATTCCATATCTGTCATTCCATATCTGTCATTCCATATCTGTCATTCCATATCTGTCATTCCATACCTGTTATTCCATATCTGTCATTCCATATCTGTCATTCCATATCTGTCATTCAATACCTGTCATTACATATCTGTCATTCCATATCTGTCATTCCATATCTGTCATTCCATATCTGTCATTCCATATCTGTCATTCCATATCTGTCATTCCATATCTGTCATTCCATATCTGTCATTCCATATCTGTCATTCCATATCTGTCATTCCATATCTGTCATTCCATATCTGTTATTCATAAGGTGTTAAGCGCCCCGCCTCCAGGTGTTGAGTGATGCCCTCAGAGAATAGTCAACATAGATGTGTCACCCATGACCCGGCGAGACTGACAGCTGACAACTGACAACTGACAGCTGACAACTGACAGCTGACAACTGACAGCTGACAACTCGAGGAAATTACAAACATCTTGTATGTTGTAGGTGCTCAAGATTCACTACCTGGAACAAAAAGTTCCAAGTAGCACGGGCTATGGCGAGCCCGTAGTGGACTTAACATCTTGTAGTGTCCTGGTCACCTCGTAGACAATCCACACTTTCCTTCTACGATATCCTAGAACAATGCCGGCTATCTTAGCTGGCACCCGTTATCTAGTTATCTTGAACGTAGATGATATCAGTTTTAGCATATGAGTGTTTTGGGTAGATGAGAGAGAGGTTTTGGCATCTACCTTCCTAGACTTAATGGTAGAAGAGTCGGGATGTAGGTTATCTTGAGGTTATCTTGAGATGATTTCGGGGCTTAACGTCCCCGCGGCCCGGTCCTCGACCAGGCCTCCTTTTTGTTACACACCCCCAGGAAGCAGTCCGTAGCAGCTGTCTAACTCCCAGGTACCTATTTACTGCTAGGTAACAAGGGCATCAGGGTGAAAGAAACTCTGCCCATTTGTTTCCGCCTCAGCCGGGGATCGAACCCTGGCCCTTTAAGAATACAAACCCCAAGCGCTGTCCACTCAGCTGTCAGGCCCCTGCTTTGGACGAGTGAGGTACCAAAGGTACCTCTGGCATGAGGTACCAAGAATTGAAGGGCGACTTACCAGCATCTTGGTAAGGCATTCACGAAGCACTTACGCAAGCACTTACGAACGTGTACATCTTTCCTCAATCTTTGACGGCTTTGGTTACATTTATTAAACAGTTTACAAGCATGAAAACTTGCCACTCAACTGTTGTTATTGTTATAAACAGCCTCCTGGTGCTTCGGAGCTCATTAACTGTTTAATAATTGTAAACAAAGCCGCCAAAGATTGAAAAAAGATGTACAGGTTCGTAAGTACTTGCGTAACTGCTTCGTGAATCCGGGACTAATTAGACACTATAACAGCATCTTGATAAAATAAAGGAGGTACAGAGAGGGGTACGATAAGACAGCGCCGCCCCCATGCTAAGATACCCCCTTCTTAACCCCCCCCCCCCCTTTAACTGATAACATGCTCCATACTACCCCCCCCTCATCCTCATCCTCCTCCCCTCCTCATCATCTGGTGACTGATTCATCACCTCCAGACACGCGTTGATTGCTGAGAGGTGTTGCTTCTTGCAGGGTCTACAGCGATGTCTTAGCTACATCTTGTTATACGTTCAACTACTGGGAACACAAAGTTGCAAGTAGCACGGGCTATGGTGAGCCCGTAGTGGACTTACTTGGCACAGGAGCGGGGCAAGTAGCCCGGGCTATGGTGAGCCCGTAGTGGATTTACCTGGCACAGGAGCGGGGTAAGTAGCACGGGCTATGGTGAGCCCGTAGTGGACTTACCTGGCACAGGAGCGGGGCAAGTAGCACGGGCTATGGTGAGCCCGTAGTGGACTTACCTGGCACAGGAGCGGGCCAAGTAGCACGGGCTATGGTGAGCCCGTAGTGGACTTACCTGGCACAGGAGCGGGGCAAGTCTCACGGGCTATGGTGAGCCCGTAGTGGACTTACCTGGCACAGGAGCGGGGCAAGTAGCACGGGCTATGGTGAGCCCGTAGTGGACTTACCCGGCACAGGAGACGTTGGCCACATGCCTGTCATAAGCATGACTGTCATAAAGCCTATACAGGAGCCGAACTCTACCTTCCCTAGTCACTATACACCTTTTCTTCTCACCATACGTGACTCGGGCGCCATATTTAATTTAGTTTATGGTGTCATTAGCATATTATTTCATGAGTGTGTAA